CGAATTTTATGTAATCCATGATCGAATTTTATGTAATCCATGATTTGAATTTTTTGAAAATTTGTGTATCTTTTTTTTAATCCATGATCAATTTTTTTTGTAATCCATGATAGAATTTTTTGAAAATTTGTGTATTTTTTTTTAATCCATGATCGATTTTTTTGAAAATTTGTATTTTTTTTTTTAATCCATATTATTCAAAGAGAAAATGAGAGAGATGATGATTATGAGGCCACCCTATCCCAGCCATATTATTCACATATCGAGTCCCAACAGCAACAGTGTAAGGATGAGCACGAAATACTGTAAATTAAATGCTGAATGGCGGTTCATGCAGGGAAAGAACATATCAATATTCGCATATTCATTCAAAAACATGAAAATTCTTAATGGAGTACCCTCATTTTTTATTGAATTCCTAAAAAACAATATTTATAATGAATTTTAATAATTTTTTCGAATTTTTTTAAGCTTTATTCTGACCGATTCACCCGATTCCCGATCCGGATCGCCGATTCGCCGATCCGGAATGGTTTTTTGGAAGCCCGATCCGGGTCACCGATCCGTTTTTTAAACCATTGAAATAAACAATGGGGCACTCGACCTTCAACTGTAGACTACGGTCCACACTTGCTTTCACAAACTGACCCAGTATTGTCCATGACCCACAGTCCATGCAGGGGGCTCATTAGTGGGTCACCAAAGTCTAGCCAATGGGCAATGAGTCATAATCTCAGTTTGTGGATTTCAGGTTCTCTCCCAGAGACGTACCAATGTCACATAGACCTGATTCGACAGCTCATATGGCGCATAGGGGTAACTCTCGCACATACCTAAGCTACACCTTTAAATGTAATTCGTTTTTTCAAAATAACTATAATATATGCATGTCGTGTGATGATACGCGGATGAGGCTTTGACACCTGGCTCTTAAAACTACCATCACATCCATAAAAGACCACACTCCCATTGAATTCATGTTTTATTATATCAAAATGTTTATTATAAATATTTATAAAATCTTTAATGGTCACACTCATCCATCATAATAAACATATGTTGAATATATCATAATAACCCAAATTGATTCTAAAGAGGAAATATTTTTAATATTTTAGTTTGGGATAATAAAGCTCATTGTTCAAGTACTCAAGGAACAAAGCATTTTAGAGAGAGAGAGAGAGGGGTGATGCATGTTAGAGAGAAATATTTTAATATTTTAGTTTGGGATAATAAAGCTCATTGTTCAAGTACGCAAGGAACAGTGCATTGCATTGCATTGTAGAGAGCGAGAGAGGTGATACATGTTAGAGAGAGAGAGAGCGAGAGAGAGAGAGAGA